AAGAAACCGTCAGGCCAACATCTGAACAAAAAGAACCCAGAGGTGGGAGTTTCTGAAGCTACTTTGGTCCTGAAAGCTTTGGCCAGTTCCAGGAATGAGAACAGTGATGCTGCGAGAAATCGAAGGCCCGGGCTCGCCGAGTCGGAGCGTCCACCGGACACCCTCCCCACTCTCTCGTCCTTCCCTTCCCTGGTTCCGGCTCCATAAAACGCTGCTTCTCTTCTGTCCTCTGGAACAGTCGGGGGTGCAGTATTGGAATAATCCTGTCCTTGAGTATGAGGAAGAACTGGCCTGTACAGACTTCGGGTCCAGTGTTTGCACGGCTGGGGTGGGTTTGGGCGTGCGTCCGAACTGCTCACTCTCTCTCTCGGGGAGACTGTCAAGCGTTCAGTCTTTCTTGAGAGAGCTTCGGTAGGCCATCTTTTTCTAGAAGATTGTCTATTTCATCTAAGTCTTCAAATTCGCTGGCAAAAAGCTATCCGTAAGATCCTTTTCAAAACCCCCTACAGCAGCTGGAGCTGCACCCCTTTCACATCTGAGACCGCTGCTATGCACCGTCTTCGTTTTCCTCATCAGTCTTCCAGTTTTGACTACTAGTCTTTTCAAAGAACCCACTTTTCATTTCATTGATCCTCTCCCCTGCATGTTTTCTGTTTGCTTTCTGCTCTACATTGTTTATTTTCTTCTCTCACTGAATTTATTAGACATATATTTTTACCTAATCCAGTAGGCAGGTAGCTCACCAGTGTTCAGGCTTTATTTAGTAAAAGCATTTAAAGCAATGGCCCTCCTTGGGGTGCCTGGGTGGGTGGCTCAGTTCATTAAGCGTCCGACTCTTGGTTTCGGCTCAAGTCATGATCTCAGGGTCAGGAGACCGAGCCCCGTGTCGGAGTCTGCTTGAGATTCTCTCTCTACCTCTGCCCCTCCCCCGACTCGTGCTCACACTCTAAAATGAAATCTTAAAAAATAAAAAAAAAAGCTATGCCCCTCCTTCCAAATCCCACATCAGCTGCATCCCACAAGTTCTGGTTCACGTTAAAGTCTTTCTTGATCCCTGAGTTACTTGGAAGTGTTTGAACTTCTAAATACCTGAGTGCTGTGTTGGAGACGGCCATCGCTGCTGGTCAGGACCATTCTCTCCTCCTTCCTAACAGCAGCATGCTGGGGAACGGCGAGGTAATGCGCCCAGCTCACTAAAACTACCTTTTCCGGTGTGTCTTGCAGATAGGCATGGCCAGGCGACGAAGGTCCTGTCAGTGAGCGAGGAGGGCATGTTCCCATTGGGACTTCTAAGAAAGTTCCATGGAAGGAGGATACGGTTGGCAGGGACATCTCTGCCTGGCCCCCTCTTCCTGCCTTAAACACGGATGTGATGGCAGGGGCCCCGTAATCATCCTGCACTAGAGGGGACCTTCCAGACTGCAGGCATGAACTAGAACGGTGGGGCTGAACATGGAAGGGCTATGGGGCCCTGATGACCTGCAAAGCCACCTGTTGGCCCTGAACCTACCGCTGCCGTAACGTGAAAGAAAAGAAACCTGTCCTGGGCTCCACTGGTCACCTGGCCAAATGTAGTTCCTAACTGCCACAGACGCTTCTAAGATACCACTGTGGTATTGGTTTTTTGACCAAAAATAGTTCACACATATGAAAGCATTTATAACTTAGACTAATAATAAAATGAACACTGCTTCATCCACCACCTAACCTGAAAAAGGTAGAACATTTCTAGGCTCACTGTGTCCTCAAAACGATACCTCCCTGTCCTCTCCCTACCTCTCATCTCACCAAAGGGAAGCACTACTCCGGATTCTGTGATTAACACTCCCTTAAATTATGGTTAGATCACACATTTTTGTAACCCTAAGTTATACTGCTCTACTTTGCTTGTATCCCACTATTTTTCTGCAATTTTCTTTCTTCCTCAATATTGTGAGATACATCCACATTGACGCACGTAGCTGTAGTTCACTTAACCACACAGCTCTACACTGTTCATTGCATGAAGACACCACTATCTACCCATTCCCCCATTGATGGGTTTGTGGGTTATCTCAAGCTTTAAGCTATCACCAAACGCTGCTACCAACACTCCCGTACTCTTCTCCTGGTGACCCATGGGACAGAGTCTCTAGGAGAGTGCTTCCCAACTCTTCTGACACCATGGCATATGTAGAAAATGATGATATTTACATGCACACTGGAGGAAAACTGGAGGGGTGTAGACTTCTGGATGCAGCCGCAGAGGGGGCCCACAGACTGGCACCTTGAGGGTTCAGGGGACCAGTAAAATGAAGCACATCAACGTCCCACAGCCCGGTGGCAGAGGTATGCGCGAGCAGGCCAATGGTGCTAGGTAAGTCCAAACTGTCTCCCGAGGGAGACACTTCCTGCTTTCAAAGACCCTGGGCTAGAGCTCCCAAGGCTCCCCCTCCTCACAAGCCCAGATGTTGTTAGACTGACATTCTGTAAGACAAATGTCTGTGCTCTTAATTCGTGTTTCCTCACTGCTAATGAGATGGGGCATCTTTCTGTGCTTACTGTCTATTCCTAGCAGCTCTTCTGAGACACCTGTGCACTTCTTTTGCCCATGTTTTATTGGGTAGTTTGATCTTCTTAACCAGATTGTTTTTGGCATCCTTGATATATTCCAGATAGTGATCATTTGTCAGTTTTATGTATTCTAAAATCTCCCTGCTTGAGCTTGTTTTTCACTTTTCACTGTTCGTTATTTAATACAATTAAGAGATTCTGTTCATCAGCCTTTAATGGTTTGAGCCATTTTTGTGTGTGGGTGTCTTTTTCAGGAAATTCTTCTCTACGCTATTTGTTACTGAATAAAATAAAACCTGTTTTGTAATCAAAGAATATGCTCTATGAATCAGATATTCTGCAATATGCTGAGTCTTACTTTCTGATCAAGCAGGAGGCTAATTTTTGCACATGCCCAGTGCTTATTTGAGACTGATATACACTTTCCACTTGTTGGGTGGAAGGTACTGTAATAAATACCCAAGAGATCAGGGATGACAAACGCCAGCCGCGGGGGAGGGGTGGGGGGGTTAACAAATCCAGCCCTGGCCATCTGCTTACATATCATCTCTGGCTGCTTGCATTCCACAAAGGCAGAGTTAAGTAGTTGAGACAGAGACCGTATGGCCTCACAAAGCCGAAAACATTTACTATCTAGCCCATTATAGAAAAAGCTTGCCAACCTCTGTTGTACTCAAAAACCTTTTTTTTTTTTTTTTTTGGTCTGCTTGATATCAATTAATGAAAGAGCTGCTTTAAAATCTTCTATGACAACGACACGGGCAATTCTGCTAATCCTCGCTTGTTATGGTACTTTATGTTGAGGCTAATTTATTAGGTGAAAATAGGTTCTAAATTGTTCCATTTTCATGGTACATTACTCATTCTATTGTTAAGAGCAGTGGTCACTCTTGTCCCTAGTTGTTATTTCTGCTATGAAATCTGCCTGGATGATACTGTCACTCTAACAGTCTCTTTTCCTTAGCATGTATTTCTTCCATTCTTTTATATCTTAGGTTTTGGATGTGTCTCTCATAAACAGCACACAGCTGCACTCAGTTTTTCCGTGGAATCTGACACTCTTTAGTCAGGAAGTCTGGTCCATTTGTATAGTGACATACATTTGGTTTCATTTCCACCATCTTAGACTGTATTTTCTTTTTACCTGTTTTTCCCTATGCTCCTCCCCCTCCCTTTTTTTGCCTCCCTTTTTCCTGCCTTCTTTTGATTAAAATTATTTTCACTCCATTTTTTACCTTATTGAAGTTTTAGCCTTTTCACATGTTCCCCTAACATCATAACATAAATTCTAGACTTAATGAAGATTTCATCAGCGTCTTTATCCTCTTCTGCAACAATATAAGGGCATCAAAAAAATTTATTTATTTGAGAGAGAGAAATGGAGCAGGGGGAGGGGCAGAGGGAGAGGGAGAAGCAGACTCCCTTCTGAACAGGGAGCCCGACATGGGGCTCGATCCCAGGACTCCGGGATCATGACCTGAGCCTAAGGCAGACACTTAACCGACTGAGCCACCCAGGCACCCCGAGCATCTGAACTCTTATTGTCAGATTTAAACCCCTTTGCTTGCTTCTTTATTTTTATTGTTTTGTTTTCAATGGAGAAATACATCATGTTTTCAAAATAGCGCTTGAAAAATACAAGGTGTACAGGTTTTATAAAACAAAGCCAACTCCAGCCACGAGACACTATGTACATCCTGTGAAAAAACTAGTCTGATATTCAGTTAATGAAAACTAGAAAGCTCCAAGTTCCCAGCTTGGTTAAACAAGTATAGTTACATGAAACACTTAATAAACTAATTTTCCCCCCAGTGTGTAAACAGAATGACAAGACTACATTTGTGCCCGGCAACTCCAGCCGGACCCCACAGTTATTTGAAATGCACAGCTCCAGTGCACACTTCACCCGACTTACTGCAGCAGAAGGGCAAGGTGACTGCACAGGGCAAAGATGTGGGCAACAGGAATACTGTGCACTTAACATCACAAAGTAGGGGTGAAAAGAAAGCCTCAATTACTGCAGAGCCTAAAAGGAAGAAGACTATATTCCAACTTTGGAAAGTTAATCTAGAAGGATAGGGAAAGGGTTTAAGAAGTTATAGTTTCACATGAAAAATGCACACGTGGTAGAAAGGAACACAGTTGGAGGAGGGCAGGAATCAGGACCAGGCTAATTGGAAAACCTGTCAGGCTCGCTGTGTCCAAATCAAGACAGACTAAGTTTCCATTCATCTACATCTGCTGCCATTCATGTGTCCTCAACAGGGACACCCTACCACTTAGCTATGAGTGGTCTTTTTTTTTTTTTTTTTTTTTAATTTAAAGGAAGGCATTCCTAATCTCTTGTAGGATAAAACAAAAACAGGAAGCTGCCTAGTTATCAAGTGCTTCCTAGAAACTATTTTGTATGTTTCTACATATAAAATTTACTGATAAATTTTAGCGAGTCCTTTAAAAATAAAAATTGGTTTAAATATTTTGGGGAAAATGCCTTTTTGCTGACATGTTTAAATTGGAAATTAACTTTACCATAAGCAGATACTCTGTGGAGCATACAAATTTCTCATATGTATAGCTCCAACAGCCATCCAAGACCAATAACTGTATCCCAATTCATTACGTTCAGTGAAGTGAAATATTAGCCATGGAACCAAAATCTAGTGTTTTGTACCATGTGGCCACAGGATTGTGGGTTTCACATAATGGTTAAGAATACACTAGCATTCTGAGGTTTTTTTTATGAATCTACATACAAACATAAAGAAGGGAGGGGAGGCAAAAAGCTTTTTTGTTTTAGGACAAATCCTTAAGGACAAGAGAATATGGAGGTTTGTTAGTTCTGACACAGTATTTGCTGTTTGATTGCTGATTGTATGCACTCTAAAACAATTCCACAGATAAAACCAACATATTATTTCTTGATTGCGTCCCGACAAAAGCAAAGACTTACTAATCACTGTTTCAATGTCAAATATATACCCTATGAGCTGACACTTCATTTTAAAGGATTACAGCTACCTCATGGGGACCGAGGTAGATGGATTTTTATGCTTTTTCTGACGTTTGGTACGCACTACACAATGGCATCCAGTTTGACAATTAATAATGAAGAAAACTCTTCAGGAAAAAAACTAAAATGCATCAAGCTGAAAAGCTTAAAATTAGTTCTACTTTCTAATAAAAATATACATAAAGTGCATCATCAGTATAAGGAATTCTGATACCAGTTTGTATTGCAAATTTTCCCAACAACGCATCAAACATAAATCCAGTCCAGATGTCATGCATGGGTACAAATATAGCCGGAGGGTTTCTCGTTTTTCTCTCCATGGGCAGTCGTCCTTTAAAATAGTTACTATAACTGCTGCTGACGCATTTATGATAGTACTTCTAGCATCATATAGTAGCCTGGACTTCTGATCAAGATTAGCCAAGTAAGGGAAGTTACCAAATAAGGCTAAATCTAGTTTAGTCAAATCTAGTTTGGTACCCTTCACTCTCCTCCTTTAGCACTTGAAGACGACAAGTTGAGTTGGCAGATACAGTTTATGGACTCTTGAGGCTGTTTTTATCAGTTCAGTCTGTCTTACTGAATTCTTGGGAACAGGAACAGGATTTGCAGGGAGAGCTGGGATACTAGTAAGTTCTGTACTGGATGTCTGCCATGAGGCCATCCACTGTCTGAAGAGTTTCTAACAGAGTTGTACTTGTCTCTTTATGAGACTGTTCCTCTTCTTTTAGTTTCCTTGGTCCTTTATGCAGTGAGAATGTCTGCTAGACTCCCACTATAGGATTAGCTATGTTTGTCGCAGTGCTCCCTGAAGGCCTGGGCGGATGGTTTACCAGACGTGTTGAAGAAACAACTCTGGCAACTGTGGCCTTCGGTGGTGGAAGAAGGGCTGGCTGTGAGGCAGTCTGAGGAATGCTTTCGCTCGATGCACCCCCTAAGCTTTCACCGGGATTCACCTGTTGCAAGGAAACTTCAGTAACTTGTACGGCAGTCACAGATGCTGCCATTACAGCAGGAGCAGGACTATTTCTGCCCTGAGAGCTGCCAGTCACTGGGCCAGTCTTCATAGTGCTAGTAGGTGAAGGCACAGACATGCTGTCTTCCCTGTCTGTAGACAAGTCAAGGCTGCTGTCACTCAAAGATGTTAAAGTGACACCTTCCGTTGAATGTGTTTTCTGTTTCTGAAGCACATGATTAGGCAGTAGCTGGTGAAGTTCCTTTCTTCTTAAATGCATTGCAGCAATTTTCATATCCATCTCAAACATCTTGCTATTTATTGCTTGCCTATAAACTGTATCTGTGAAAGACTGGATATCATAGGTGAGATCAATACTGAGAACGTCAGAGTTTTCTGGCTTTTTTAACACTAACCCAATCACCCACATCGTACGAAATTCTTCCTTGTCAGGATTTTCTTTAGGTGCCGGAAATGACTGAGGATTCACATGCGCCAGAGTAATAAATTCATTCTTCTCCAAGCTTCCAACCAGAATTCGGATTTTTGATTCCACCAAGCCCACCCATTCTAGATGCTGTTTTTCTGTTGGTGCACTTGCTAGAAGTACAATATAATGCTTGTACTTTTGAAAGAAGCTTGGAGCTTCAAAAAGCTTGGACCACTCTGCCTTACTCAGCAGAATTTCATGTGTGATAGCAAGCCCTTGTTTAAACTCCTCGATCATGACCAGCCTTGTTGAAACAGACACGTTGTATGTGGAGTTCTGCTGTGGGTACGCCGGTGTGATTATGGGCATAAGATGGTACCTATCACTGGGATTTACTCTCGGGTCCCATACAGGCAAATTAAGATTCTGCATTTCAGGCTCTTTCAGCAGCACTGGATTTGGCCATTCCCATTCGGAAAATACCAAGAAAAACTTACGCACAAGAGTGGATGCGATTGCATTTGGGTAGAGCTGGCAAGTTCTTGCTACCAGCATGGCCCAGGAAACACCTCCTAGGAAGCCTAATATATTGGAATAGATATTGTGGCATTTGGCCCACAGTTTGATGGCTCTCAGAGTTAACCTGAAGTTGTCAATGTCTGGGACGAGATGTAAGATTTCATCCGTCACCCGGCAACCGTTTAGGCTTCTTATGCATCTAATATCTAAGTTTTTAAGCAGACTGTCATCTCTTAGGTCCAAATCTTCTGGAATAGTCTGCAGTGCCAATCTTGCAAACAAAATATCAATCTCTATACCATCAAAACACAGCTTAATAACTGGTACAAACGCCTCCTCAACAGCCCTTAAGTCTTTTACTTCTTCGTGTAGTTTCAATTTGTCATAGAACGAGGTGAAAAAGTCGCTTCGATCAACATGCCTCGGTGCAACGCACAACGCATCAATATCAGCACCTTTCGTGTGCACTCCTAATCTGTACGAGCCAAACGTAAAGATCTTCCCGCCGACGTTTTCAACTACAGCTTGTGGAAGGCTCTTGCTTTCACTGATCTCTCGTATCCACTCCTTCACCAGCTTATTTAATTTTTCCAAAATTAAAATCCTGCGCTGCAGTTCCTCTTCCTCTTCAAAAACCCCGAAGGGCTTCAGGGTTTCAATTAACTTCTGGGTAAGTACGCAGTCAGGCTCCTTGGGGGCCGCTAAGCTGATGGGCGAGGAGATGCCGCAGTGCTCGCGCGGCGGCGTCTGTTGTGATCCCGGGGCCGGCACCGGAAACGGCATCATCGCTAGCGCCGGCCCCGCCACGCCACCTCCCCCGCCACCGCGACCTCCACGGCCGCTGCCCGGGTCATGATCCGCCGAGGCGGGGGGGCGGGGCTCGCACCGGCCCAGGTCCAACCCGCTCCCGCTCCGCGCCCGCCGCTTCAAGCGCCTCGCTGCCGTCCCCCCGGCCCCAACATGGCGCCTGGGCCCTCCGAGCTGCATTCTAGAAGGGCCACGCACGCCACGCACGCCACGCACGCCACGCAGCCTGCACGCCGCGCGGAGCCTCACGGGAGCCGTAGTTTCCGAGGTCCCGCCGCAGGACTCGGGCTGGTGCAGGTGGTCCGGGTACGCCTTGTTTTCGGCTTCATCAGGACTGCTTACACACGCCTACCGTCTTGTCCCTTGATCACCATTTTTCCTTACACCCCAGATCTACCGCCTCTCCAGGGGCAGCTTCGGGTGGCCTTCGCCCTAAGGCGCGTCCTTCAGAAACCCCCCACAGTGAGGGTCTGCCGTGCAAGGCGCCTCCCGTTGCGTCGTCCGGGGCCCGGCGCCTGGCTGGTGGTTTAGTGGGTCTGCAACTCGGGTGGCAGTTCTGTTCTTTCCAGCTGGCAGGTCCCGTCTGCCACCTCTGGTGTCTACGGTTTCTGTTGGGCAGTCTGCAGTCTGACTGACCTGCTCACCGGCCTTTTCCTTCTGGCAGCTGTAAAGATCCTCCCTATCCTCAGTGTCCTGCAGTGTGACCACCACTCGGTGTCAAGGGGCAAACTTTCCATTTACCTTACACCGTGATTTCTGAATCGTAAGATTCGTGCTTGTCACTCCATGACCTCCGAAGCAGCTCAGGCATGGCCTTGGAATATGCTGTACACACCATTCTCTTGTCCTCATGTACACATGTGATAGACTCTCTCGTTGGGTTCTCGTGTCTCTTACCTCCTGCTTCTTCCTGGGTGATGCCAGATCTACCTCTCAATTCTCCAATTCTCTCTTCACTTGTACTTAGTCTGCTGTCTAAGCCAACACTGAAGCATCCATTTAAATACTTACATTTTTAATTACTAGAAGCATTATCTTGTTCTTCTCCAAATCTTCCCTGCCTCTTCGGAAGACACCTATTATTTCCTGTTTTCTTTCTACCTTTTATTCAGTAAACATTTTGAACTTATTTAATATTCTACAACTAATGGCCCCAATTCTTAATATTCTTGAGAATCTGATTCTAGCTTGTTTTCTACTGACTCAGACAGGCATTGCTTCATGGGTCTTGTAATTTTTGGATCATGAGCTCATCTGTGGTGAGGCTTGGGATGCCTGTGTGGATGTCCTTCCAAAGAGGAATTGCTTTGTTTCTATCAGATGTCCTTGTACACTATCAAATTTTACACTATAATTTAATTCCTTTTCCAGGGACTAGCCAGATCACCTGAGTAGTGTGATTTCAAACCCCAAACATATGTGAAAAGAAAAGTGGTTTTTGATTCTAGGGAAGAGTTTTCCCCACCCAGAACCCAGACTGAGAAAGAGAACTCTTTGTCACCTCCTTTCACCAAGTATCAGATTCTTCCTATTCCATCTTTTCATTCAGTGTGTCGCCCTTCAAGAGTTGCAACCATATCCAGGTGTTTCCCTGCCTCTTTAGGTCCTGAAGCTCTATGTCTCTTTCTTGGGCAGCTGCTAAACTAAAGTTTCTTGATTATAAAGACTGGCAAATGCCTCTAGAGCAATTATAGTTCAGCTATAGAATCAGCTAAGATTCTGAGGTTTCAAAGTACCTCTTTTTGGTTTTTTTCACCCCTGCTGATTTACTTTATTTTCTTGGGTACTCAGCTATGCATCTTAAAGGAGATTTTTTTTTTTCTATTTCAACCAACACTTCCAGGTACTTTATATAGAAAGATTTTCTAGGATAAGTAATCCCACATATTACAAGAAATATAAGTACCTATTTTTCAACCCATTTCAATATAGTTTGCATGCTCAACATTCCAGCAACACAGCTATCAGTAAGGTCTTTGGTGACTTCCAAGTTGTTTAATCCAATGGATCCAATTGTCTACATCTTTTTTTCCCTATAGTAGCCTCTTCTTGGCCTCCATGGCACCACACTCTTTGTGCTGTCTTGTACATCTTGGGCCTCCCCTCAGCCTGATTTGCTGACTGCTCCTCCATTACTTAGCCTCTAAAGTTGGTGTTTCTCTAGTTTCCATATTAAGCTCTCATTTCTCCTTATCTTTTGTACATTCACTACCTAGATCTCAATTTTCACAGCTTTAAATATCACCTATTTACAGCTTAATTTAAGCTTTTGTAACAGACTCTTTTTAAGTATTTATTTATTTATTTATTTATTTATTTATGTATTTGAGAGAGAGAGGACAGGGGAGAGGGGCAGAGGGAAAGGGAGAGAATCCCAAATAGACTCCACCTGAGCACAGAGAGAGCCCGACATAGGGCTCGATCTCACGACCCTGAGATCATGACCTGAGCCGAAACCAAGAGTCGGACACCTAACCGACTGAGCCACCCAGGCGCTGCATAACAGACTCTCTTCTAAGCTCCAGATCCATATTATCTGACTTCCTATCTACCACCTCCATTGAATATCTGAAACTTAACTTAGTCTAAAGAGGGCTCTTATTCTTCCCTCCATAATTTGTTTCTCTCCCAGTAGTCACCATTTTAGTGAATGGCATCTCCATCCATCTGTGCATACCAGAAACCTGGAAGTCATTCTCAACACTTCCCTCTTTCTCATACTCAATATCTAGTTCATTTACAAATATTGTTGATCCTACCTCTAGAATATATTTGGGATTCATACACTTCTCTCTACCTGTTCCCTCATAACTCTACTCGAGATTACCATCAACTCTCATCTAGACTCCTATAAAAACCTAATTAATCTCCTATTACTGACCTTTTTGAGTATTTTCTACTAGGATCCAGAGTGGTCTTTTAACCCCTTCAGTGGCCTCCCATTATACTTAGTCTAAAATCTAAAATACCTAACAACCCAGGTTGGTCTTCCCCTGACCATCTCTCCAGCCTCAATGCCCACAGCTTTCCCCCATGCTCCAGCCACATGGCCTTCTCCCAATGCCTGGCATTCGCTTCACTGTCTCTCATCCAGAGTCTGTACACAATGCTCTTCCCTCTGCCCAGAAAGCTCTTCTAGCTCCACCAAGTGTCTACTACCCTTCACCTCATTAACGTCTTGTCATTCTTGAGACTAGCTTAAAATTTATCTCCTCAGAGAGAATTTTCCTAACCCTCATGCTAAATTAGCACATGTGCGTTCCCTCCACAGCACTTATCACAATTTGTAATTATGTTTTCCGTGTGATTGTTTCTTTGCCTTTACTTCCCACTAGACTCTTAGCTCCACGAGAACACGATCTATTTGTTTTGTCAACTGCTATATATATATATGTATACACCCACACACACACCTAGTCAAGCACCAACAGATATTTGCTGACAAATTAATGAATGAGCACAGTTCTTTTTCCTTTGAGTCACTGGTAATCAATATCCAGAAGACTCATTTCTTGAATTCTGATTAGGTAGAGGTCAGTTTCAAATCTACACATTGTAACCTCTGGGAAGTCATTTTGGAACTCGATTCACAGCTACTCATGCCAGTTGGCTACAAGGAGTCTCTACGGCCGCATGACTCTAGTACCCCACTACACTACAGCACCTTCTGACCTAAAAGTGTTTCCAGGGGGGATTTTTGTGGGTCAGGGGCTCATACTCAGTGCCTAAGGACGTGGAAGGACCACAAAGGAAAACACGCCATTGTCATGGCCGCCTTTCTGCAGAAGCCGCGGTCCAGCAGTGCTTACTAGGAAACAAAGTAGACATATCCACAGGCCAGCAATTCCATTTCTGGGAGAACACCCTCAGAGAACTCTGCACAGACCCTCAAGAGGGAGGGTATGCCATAGTTTGTAGCAGGACGAAGCTGGATGCAACCTGAGTGCCCATGATTTGGGGAATGGATAATGTGGTATATGTATATGATGGGAAACTATGGCTCAGTCAAAAGCAATGAACTGAAATTTACAGCACCACAGGTAGATCTTAATCTTATTATGTAGTGTCCTTAGTTGAACAGAAAGGTTAAACTTTTATATATTTAAATCCATCTACCTTTTCCCCTTACGGTTTGTGCGTTTTAAGCCTTCTTATGAAATCTGTCTTTCTTTTAGCTGATGCCAATTATCCCAACACTGTTTACAAAATCATTTCCCCAATATCTGTGATGCAATCCGCATTGCACCAAATTCCCACTGGGTCATTCAACATCGTCTGCCTTTGCCTTCTCTATTCTGTTCCCTCCATCTGCTTGGACGTTCCTGCCCCACATGACCACATGCCTTAATTACCATGGCTTTAAAACATGTCTTGGAGCTAAGGAGGTCAATCTCCCCTACCCCTGCTCATCTTGTTCAAACCTATCTTGGGCATCTGAAAACCAGGCTCCTTTCCCAAAGATGGACTCAGTCTGTGCAAGGACAGCACAGAAAAGAAGGTGGACTTGGGCCTCACTTACTGCTTTCACTCTGTACACATCTGAACATGTATTCAAGATCTCTGGAAACATTTCTGCCACTTCAAACATCAGAAGGAAAAAAAAGATAGTTGACTAGCATTCTCTGTTTATGTGAGTATATTATCTAAAACCAGTAAGAGACACTATTCTATATGATTTAAATATATCCCCCAAAAGTTTTTCCCCAAAACTATAAGTCACTTTTGGGAACCAACAGATATCAACCTGCTTTAAACGTTAATAAAACAGAGTTGTTAATATATTAATACTTCTTGGAAATGCTTCACATGGTTAACTGGACCAAGTGAGGTTTCTCTATCCATTTAACCAAATCCGAAATTTTGCTTTTATGTCTGCCTGTTTCAAGACAACTTTAAAGAGGCTGATTCATCTTGTTGTAGTATGGTACAGCACAGAAGGCATCAAGAACCAGGCGCATTTGTTGTACTCTGCTGGCTAATGGGGGTTTTTATTTTTTATTTTTTTTT